TGTGTGTATGTGTATGTGTATGTTTATATGAATGTATTTGTCCGTTTGAAACGATCGATAAAAGATTGCAGTTGTGATTATCAGGAGGTCATCTTCAGCCTCCATTGATAATTATCTGATATTGCGATCAGTTACGAAATGTTTGGTAAAAGCTAACAGAGAAGAAAGGAAATTTTGAGCGTCTTCTAAAAATTCAAAGCTGAGAAGTTTGATTAATTTTGATATTTTACAATGATAACATTTCCATTCCTGTCATCACTTCTTCTTCCCCATAACTTACTCGTATTTCGATAATAAATATGCATTTATATTGTGTAACAAACTGGAAAATTCAGGAAAGATAAATACAACAATTACCTCAAGCAATTAAAATTTCCCTTAAATGACAAAATAAATAATCTGCAATGCATCCCTTAAATGATAAATAAATAATTAGGGTAGAAAAATAAATATGCGACTAATTAATTAGTAACGAATAGAAAAAAAAAAGAAATTATAAGGTTAAAGTGCGAAAGATTATTCAGTGGATGTGATTCGCATCAATTTCCAATATTCGCATTTTAAATTATTGTAATAGCTCATTGTTACTGCACTCCGTTGTTAGCTAAATTTTTATTTCATTCCGATTTTTCAAAGAATGAAAAAATTTGGTTTAGTGAAAAATTACAACAGTAACTGTTTCATTTCGGCGATAACATCAAACAATCCTCGATCGTTCTTTTTCATTTTCAAACGTTCGTTTTCCTTTTTTTTTCTTTTTGTTTTGAGTAAAATCACAAATGACAGCTGTTCCTTGCTTGGAGCGATGGACAATTAATTGATCAATATTTTATCTCTCTTATCATTTGGATTGCATTGATGAGAATTTGAACTGAGAAATTTTGCACCCAAAAGAAATAGTCGAAATTTTGAATTCAAATTATTAATTAAATGAAGAAAAAGGGAAAATCTGGTTAGGAAAAGGAAAGATTGGAAAAGTGTGGAAATGAAATTATTAATTAGTTAGGATAAGCTTACTTAAAGATTACCTGATGGAAATGCAAATAGAAATCATTGGCTCGTTATGGACCTCAAATTATGTTGACCTTTAATTATAGAGGTCTCGGACACACTTAAATAGTGTTTATCGTTTGATAGAGAGAAATGAGGATTACCCGTCTAACATTAAATGTTGTAATTATGAACTCATCCCACACATATCACACCTGTTGTATGACCTTCACAATAGTTTAGTAATATTTTCGTGCTCTCGAAGAGATGAAATCAATTTTTTTTTTTTTTGATATTCTTTGAAAGAAATTAAATTTTCCTGACACTTTGATGATTACTCATTATTATTTCAATCAATTCATCCTCATAAATATAAACGGATATAATTTTTATAAATAGGGAATAATAATTTTGAATAATAATTCATCTATAATCATATAAACCTTTACATAGGGAACAATAATTTTACCTAATTAAGTTCACAAATCATATTTTCATATCTAATTAATGACAGCGTTGAAAAATTTCTTCTCACAGAAACAATGACCGCCATATGCTTCAGATTATATAAATCATTATATTTCATAATAAACATAAATGAATGCTTACAAGTATTCGCTATGCGTGTGTCTGTCTGTGTATGTGTGAATGTGTGCGTCTGTTTATGTCTGTGTAGATGTGTGTGTGTGTGTGTGTGTGTCGGTCTGTGTCTGTACGGATGTATGTGTCTGTCTATCTGTGTTTGTGTCTTTGTGTTGATGTACGCAATGTGTATATGTATATGTATGTCTGTGTATACGTGTCTGTGTGACGTGTCTGTGTGTACGTATCTGCGTATGTGCGTGTGTGTGTGTGTGTGTGTGTGCTATGTGTGTATGTATGTATGTGAGTGTATGTGTAAAATAAAGCAGAAGGCGCTTATAGACATTCCCGATTATCGAGACTCATTTGGATGGAAAAAGGAGGAGGTTGACGGAATAGTCTCACAAGTTTATCACCATATGTATAGGACACTTAAGTGAGACATCTGCGCATTCAGTTGATTAATTATGCATAAATGAGTTATTCCATATTGACATTTATTAAGAGTAAATTAATAATAGTTGGAAATTATTAATTTAGTGTACTCTAAATTCATGTATGTTATTAAAAAAAAAAAGAAATGAAACAAGAATTTTTTTGAAAAAATTTATTAAAAATCATAATTTTGCTAAAAAAAAAAGTAGAAAATGTCTAAAACTGAAGAAATTAGAGTAATTTTGAATGGGCAAATAAAAAATATTCTACGAATAATAGATTTTTCATTAAATGCTTAGCGTAAAAATTTTGAAACTTTTGAAGAAAATATGATAAATTATAATTATGAGAAAAATTTACTGATAATCACACTTTTGTACATTAAATTTAACAATATTTGAAAAAAAAATGTAAAGTGCTTATTTAATAAAAAATAAACGTTTGCTGAATGAATCAACAACATGATTGATTTTTCATCAAATTTATTAACCTATACTATTATTATACTAAAATTAAAACAATATCCTATTCCATTTTATTTAGGATAATAAAATAATATTGAAATGCTGAAATTACAAATGCTATCCTATCCTATTCTATTTAAGATAATAAAATAATATGAAAATGCTAAAATTACAATCCTATCCTATCCTATCCTTTCCTATTCTATTCTATTCTATTTAGGATGATATAATATGATATGTGGGAAAGAAAAAAAAGAAAAAAAATGAGTTATGCATTATGTAATAAGAATAGTTCTGCTATTAAAATTAAATTGTTAATTTCATTTAATGATCAAAATTCCATTTGGTACATTTTGCTGAGCTAACTTGAATAGCTAATAATTTATATCGATAAAATGAATGGAAAAGAAGGAATGCTATAAGCATAGACATCATTGCAAAGGACGATTGAAACTAATTAAATCTATTCCCATCGTATGCTCGAATGAAGTATTCTTTTACTAACATGCAAATTTGCCAAGAATGATAAACGAAATAAGTAATATTAGTAAAAGAAGGGATCTTGTTAGAGTTTCCTCAAAAATTCACTAATAAAAAAAATTTATGACAAAAAAGAGTAACGTATGATGAGTGTAACCTTTGATAATTTTTTTTTAATTTCATTGATTAAATAATTATGCATATATTTCTAAAATGATAGATTAATTGAAATTAATTAATGTATAACATTCAACTTTAGATTTCGAATTAATCGTCAAACTGATCCAAAACGTCAATTTTCAATCGATCAAAGTGGATCGTTATGTGTTGCTCAACGACTTGATCGTGAAGAAATTCCGAAATATAATTTAGTTGTTGAAGCATTTGATTCTGGTTTGTTCATAATTTGTAAAAATACTTAATATCAAAAGCATAAATCATTAGCTGCTCATTTGATGTCAATTTTATTTTGACGTAATGACGTGATATCATTTTAACGTGTCGTAATTTATCCTAACTTCTTCATACAATTTCAACATTTATTCTTCAAAATGACTATTGTTTGCTTTCAGCCGGAAATGTCGGATTTCAAACGATTGAAATTTACGTGCAGGATGTTAATGATAATGCTCCGGTACCGTATACCATACCAAATCCGTGTGTTTTCATGGAAAATACCGATCCAACAATGCAACCAACCTGTGAGATACGAGCATACGATCCGGATACAATGTATAGGAAAAATTTAATTTATTAATTTGTTTACTGTATTAAAACATTCTTTTTTCCCTAACTTACTCAAACTTTATTCTCTAAATTTTAGTTTGCAAATTTAAATTGTAAAATTATTTGGATGGTTTTACAATTTTATAGAAGCAACATAGCTCACTGAGAAATATTTACATTATACATGTGGTAGAAAAAAAAAAACTTTTCTTTTAAAATATTTATCAAAGAATTAAATTAATTATTAAAGAGTTCGGTTTTTTGTTTCAGCGAGAATGGACCACCTTTCATGATGAAATTAGCATCAGATTTTAAATTTGGTGCATATCTCAATGTTGTTTATAACAAAAGTAAGTTTTTGTTTATTTTCATTGTTTAAGTAGATTCTTGCATTTAATTTCTTAATTATAAATTATAGCATTTTGCCAATATTGGAAACATAAATTTGTTTTTTTTTTACAGACAAATTTTTAAAACAAACAATTGCATCGAATTTTTCAACATCGTCGTCGAATTCGATCAAAATAACAGTCAATTTAGACAATTTTGCTCAAAAAATCGAAATATTACATTGATCAAAAGAAAAAAAAAAGTGAAATGAAATAATTAACATCGAATTGAAAATTTTGTTTATTTTAGATGGTGATAACGGTAATGGTTCAATGACTGTGACAGCAAAACAACGATTGGATCGTGAAGCTGAATTTCCCGGAAAGCAACTTGAAATTCCAATAATTCTAAAAGATTCGGGTGGTTTACAATCAGAACGCTCTGTTTACATCATTATTGGTGATGAGGTAAATTTTTTATTGAATAAATAATTCTTATTCATAAATCAAATAACAAAATTTCATTAAAAAAACGAACAAAGCACAAAAAGCACAAAAAGCTACATTAACTGAAAAATGATCATTTCAAGTATTAAATTTTATAATAATCTTTTTGTCATCTCTCTCTTCTTCTTCCAAAAAAAAAAAAGCCCCGATATTCAAAAAAATGCTAATATTCAAATATCAATCTATCTGTATATCATTTATTCGAAATAATGCTATACTGATTGTTGAGAATTGTATTTTCTCAAAATCATTTATTTAAATGCAAAAAACGGGAAAAGTGTTCTTTTGTAATTCTTTTGTAAAGGAGGCACAATAAAAAATACTTTCTAATCCTATCATTTTTCTTTTGAATTATTCATCAAAAATTCAATAGAAAAAAAAAGGAAAAGGATAAAATTTGCTTGGTTCCTGTGAAAAATATTACAAAATTTTACAATTCTTTTTGTGAAAAAATATTGCAAAATTTTACAAAATATCATAAAATAATTCTATAAAATAATTTTGTG